GGTTCATTACAATTATAAATAAATCATGCTGGATTGAAATTTCAAGACTTCCCAACCTGACAATGGAAGAATTTCCTTGGTTAGACTGGTTTTATTCTCAGGGAGGAATTTTTATTATTATTATTTATTGTCCTTTTTGGCCCCAAATTTGGTCATCTGAAATTTTCCTTATTTCCTAATCTTTCATCTCATCTGAGCAGATGTTGGTGAGTTGGGCCACATTCGGCCATACTGCACAGCTTTTCTAGCTTCCTCCTTGTAGTACAGTTTTAAGAAACCAAGGGTTTCTTATTGTATCACAATTAAAAGCCAGTTAAGGCCAGACCTGTGATTTTTCAACTTTCTCAAGAATTGAAATTTCTGGTCTATATAATTACATGGGAAAGAAACTCACCCCCAAATTTCTTCTAGTTATAGTTGTTAATCCTGTAATTTTTCCTTTTAATTAATTGGCCTATTTGTGGGGCCCACTTTCCTCTTCTCATCTTAAGAATGGTTAACTTGTGGCCCTCTAGAAAAGTAAGCAAGGGTGGGAAGGCAACAGCTATAATCTGATCTTTGCCTGTGGCTTCCTCATATTTTGGGCTAAAAAGTCCAAATGGAAGGCTTTTGAGAAAACTGAGTGACAGTCTTTTTCTTGCTGTTTGTGGTATTGAGACAGATTTTTCACCTCTGAGATAAACTCACTTTCCTGGCCTATTAGCCAATTTAGGTTTCAAGCAGATTGTCCAATATTTCCTGGCTGTACTTATCTTTGAAAGTTCTTTTAAATCTTCATTTATTTCACTTAGTGTTAGTGTTAACATTTTTACTAATGAAATAGTAACATTTAATTTTGAGGTACAAGTCTCTTTGGGGATGGGTAATATGTGACATATAAAGCAAAATGCCATACAGAAATATAAAAGAGTTAGGGATTACAAAACATGTCTGGATACAAGGGTTTGGAATAAGGGATTGTGAACCCATACATCTTCCTACCCTCCTATGTGTACATGAGAGGACACACNCTATTGTCATATTTTTGGATGTTAGCTGTTATAAGAGTGTAGTGACATCACTGTAGTACAGATCTAGGTGTAGAGCTGCTGGGTCATATGGTAACTCCATATGTAATATTTTGAGGAAATTTCAAACTGCATTCTAAAGGTGCTGAACCATTTTACATTCCTACCAGCAATACACAAATGTTCCACTTTCTCCACATCCTTGTCAAAACTTGCTATTGTCTTTTTTTTATTATAGCCATTCTAGTGGGTGATGGGTCAAATATAGTTTTGTCAAAGCCTTCAGGCTACACATTTAGTTCATTCAACTTAAGGAAATTGCCATATCGACTAATTGCCAAGCCAGTTTTCATTACTAGGCCAATCAGCCATATATACTTTTTCCAAAAATAAAATCTCTCACTCATTTTCAATCCAAATAGACATTCTCATCCTCATGAAAACCATACCTCTTTTCAGTTCAATTTCTAAGTTATTCAAGTAGTGAAATAAAGAGAAAGAAGAGAAAAAGTAAGGAGCCTCATAACTTTGTAGCCTGAAATAAATGTCACCATCGCCTTCAGTGCTTTATTGATACTCTTCTTTTCTCTGATATTATGGGATTCTCCTGAGGCAGCCACCACGTAATCTCTCATGGTTGTCTGAGAATGGAAGAAGATAATGAAAACGTCATTTCTACCCCACCTTAGAATACCTAAAGCCAAAGGCTAACACCAAGATTTGCTCTTAACAGAAAGACGTATTTTTGAAGACAAGGAAAAAAAAAATAGGATCATACTATGTTGCATTGAATAAACAAGGTTTCATAGATCCATTATTTCAAATTTTCCCTTTATTTGGGTTCTGCAGAAGTTTTTACACTTGTATATAATTAGTATTTCACATGGGTGAGGATTTTGTTTGTTTTTTTATAAGACCAACTGTCAAAACGGACATGGAATAAAACCACCAGCAGGAGACTTAGACTTCAGGACCTTTCTTATTCCAAGTTTCTTCACCTCCTCAACTGTCACCCAAGCCAGATACCACTACTCCGCTTTCACTTTCAGGCCCGACCGTTTGGTTTGAATCTGCGCCACGCAACACACTCCAAATCCAGATGGACAGGACCATTGACCAATCACAGAGCCAGGTTTCCTTTCCCCAGTCCAATCATGGCTGCCGTTTGGGAGACTTAGTGCTGAGAAGGGGCTGGGCCAAGGAGATGGGCGTTAGAAACACCACCCACCCAGCCTTCCAGCAGCACTGAAGTGGTTCTTCAGCATTTTATTCGCATTTGTATTCTCAAAATGTCTCTCTCTAGGAAGCTAACTTTGGATAAACTGGATGTTGAAGGAAAACGAGTTGTTATGAGAGTAGACTTCAATGTTCCCATGAAGGAGAACCAGATTACAAACAACCAGAGAATCAAGGCTTCCATCCCAAGCATCAAGTACTGCCTGGATAATAAAGCCAGGTCAGTTGTTCTTATGAGTCATCTAGGTCGACCTGACGGTGTTCCCATGCCTGATAAATACTCCTTGGAGCCTGTTGCTGCTGAGCTCAAATCCTTGCTGGGTAAGGATGTTCTGTTCCTGAAGGACTGTGTGGGCCCAGAAGTAGAGAAAACCTGTGCCAACCCACCTGCTGGTTCAGTGATCTTGCTGGAGAACCTCCGCTTTCATGTAGAGGAAGAAGGGAAGGGCCAAGATCCTTCTGGAAATAAGATTAAAGCTGAGCCATATAAAATAGAAGCCTTCCGAGAGTCACTCTCCAAGCTAGGGGACGTCTATGTCAACGATGCATTTGGCACTGCTCACCGGGCCCACAGCTCCATGGTGGGAGTGAATCTGCCTCAGAAGGCCTCTGGATTCCTGATGAAGAAGGAGCTGGATTTCTTTGCCAAAGCCCTGGAAAACCCAGAGAGACCCTTTCTGGCTATACTTGGTGGAGCTAAAGTGGCAGACAAGATCCAACTCATCAAAAATATGCTTGACAAGGTCAATGAGATGATTATTGGTGGTGGGATGGCTTATACCTTCCTCAAGGTACTCAACAACATGGAGATTGGTACTTCCCTGTTTGATGAAGAGGGAGCCACGATTGTCAAAGATATCATGGCCAAAGCCAATAAAAATGGAGTTAACATTACCTTTCCTGTTGACTTCGTCATTGCTGACAAGCTTGAGGAGAATGCTAAGGTTGGCCAAGCCACTGTTGCATCAGGCATACCTGCTGGCTGGATGGCTTTGGACTGTGGTCCTGAGACCAACAAAAAGTATGCTCAAGTTGTAGCCAAAGCCAATCTAATAGTGTGGAATGGACCGGTCGGGGTATTTGAATTGGAAGCCTTTGCTAAGGGAACCAAAGCCCTTATGGATGAAATTGTGAAAGCCACTTCTAGGGGCTGTATCACCATTATAGGAGGTGGAGACACTGCTACTTGCTGTGCCAAGTGGAATACTGAAGATAAAGTGAGCCACCTGAGCACTGGAGGAGGTGCCAGTCTAGAGCTTCTGGAAGGTAAAGTCCTTCCTGGAGTGGATGCCCTCAGCAACCTGTAGTTGACAACCTGTTCCTTCCTACTTCCCACTGCCTTTAAATCAACTTAGTGCTTTTACATTTCCACTTGACTTTTGTTTGAACGTACCCTTGTATCAAGACCTAGGCAATGACCAAGCAATGGGCCATCAGGAACTCTTTTAACATCACCAGAACAATGCAGTTCACATTAGTTCTGCCATGCATTTACCCACTCTCTTCAAGATCTCATTTGAACTTCACCACTGTGATTTATAGGAAGTGAGTTGCCTATTAAAGTGAGTTAAATAAGCTGAATCTCTCCTTTTTATTTTAGTTGAGCTTTGTTATTGTGTCACCACTTGAAATATGGAAATAAGAGCAAAACCCAAGTTGCTGAGGAAGAGTGGAGTAGAGGTTGACAAACTATTAAACAATAAAAGTGTGCAAATAAACTGAGAAAGATAATTATGTTTAAGAAGCCATGGGTGCCATTAAACCTCTGCTGAGAGGAAATTTCTTACTAAATAAGAAAGAAGATAAATTAAACATTCTTATTAAATGCAAGAAGTTAAACAAAAAGACATTAAACCCAAGGAAGGAAATTTGTCTGTGAGTATGGATACACAAGAGTACACACATATGTCTGTTAGAATGGGAGCTAAAAATCAAATCCAGGTTTCAAATAAAGAAGTAATTGTTTTCTTTTTAAAGCAGGCATTATTTAATAAATAGAAGATATAAGTGCTAAATCTAAAATCTGGGTTTTTGAGGTAAATAAAAATTATGTATATAAATAATTTAGCCATGAGAAAAATGGAGATATTAAAAATCTTCCATATTAGAAAATAGAATAAGATAATACTAAAAAAATACAGAAGAAATAAAAATACCTTTTGGAGAATATTTTGCCTAGTTCTGTAGACAGAGCTGGTTCAGGGCAATGTTAGTATCAAATTAAGAGTAAAAATGCAGAGTAACTTATCCCAGTTGTAATGGACTATGTTCCATAGCCCCAGATCAGTTCCTTAAATTCAGCATCCTAAATAATTGAACTTAAAATATAATCTCAATATACCTGAAACTTCAGCGTATTTCTAAAGACAATATTAATAATGTCATGGTAATCCCAGAGAAGATATAGGAGGTAAGGTAGAGACTTAAAAACAAGTTTAAAAGATAATCAAAATTACAGTAGTTGAAACAAGATTATAACATATTACTCTTTTGCATGAAAGCCTAGTGCACACAGGTGGGCTCTTCTCCATGAAGTCATCTGTAGAACCAACTAGTGAAACAAATCTGTTACTCTCAATAAGTGGGTTCCACCTCTGAGTCTAAGACGTCTGCCTGAGCTTTTACTACTTGACAGCCAGCTCAAAGGTGGGAGTTAATGAAGGGCAATGCATATTTTAAAAATACATGACCCATAAAGTTCAGGATTTTTGTTGTCACTTATTCTGTTGGCTATTAGCTGTGTGATAAAGCCTATTTTGCAAGGGAGGCTTGGGAAATGTAGTCTGTCTAGTTGAATACCTTGTACTTGACTGAAATTAATAGATTCTATTACTAAAAGGAAGTAAGAGGGAATAAATACCGGGAAAAAATTAATGGTTTCTGATAGACTGTCCCCCTGATCACATAGAAAAGACTGTATATCACCCCAAGATACCCAATCTGGCAAACTAAAAAGCTCAGTCATTTATTTTTCTCATACC